CGAGAAGAGCGTCGGGTGCAGACCACACACCGCAAATGGCGACGGTCGTCATTTATGGTGTATGGTCTGCACACACGCTCTTCTCGTTTTTTGAAAGGGAGGGTACTTATGAGGGGACCCTTCCACTAACCAAAGATAATCAAGTGACTTTAGTAGAAAATAAATAAATAAATAAATGGTTGTCAGAATTGAACGGTCACCTGTACTACATGCCCTTTTTCCCATGAGGAGAGCACCCACTTGGCACATGTGCCAAAGGCTTCCATAGAGATCTTTACCATACGCGCTTTCGATATTCTTGATCTTATCTGATGCCATGTGATGTCACATATTCACAATAACCCTGCTATTAGAATGGTCCAGCTGAGGGAAGCGGTGTGCATATAATGTTTGCAAGATTGATGCACACTTCTTTCCCCTGTTTCGCTTATCATTCGCCTTCGGGAACGTGCAAAACATGCTTTTTTGAAGAAAGGTAATCGGTGTTTATAGTGAGAGTCAAAAACTAAAAAAAAACTAACCTATAGCAGGATTCCTCATTCGACTCAGCTTCCACGCATCATCGTAGTTCGCGGCGGCGTCGTTGAACTTCTGCTCACGCTCCCGTAAATAGCCAAGAAACTCGAACGCTTTTATAGAACTCTGAACAGAGTTTTACTTTATCTCTCATATGTAGGGGACGGTGCGAAGACTTCGCCATCACCCATACTCTACCGTATTTCAAAGTAACGACAACCGATTGCTCGACCGATCGATTATAAAGGCGTTTTCCGTAGATTACTCAGTTTTCGTACAGTCACAGTTCTGCAATGCGGTACTGGCGGATGGCAGATGGCGGAAACCACTGAGTAATACGCGCCAGCAGTGGTGCACCCTATTCAGAGGCTCGCATTGAGGCAGTGCTCATCGCATGCGGCTTCGCAGAACAGGCGATTCCTCGAAAAGGATATGTAATTATTGACTGCGAGAATCGCCGGTCATGGGAATTGCGTAAGCTAGACATCAGAGCATCAGCGAAAAGGTGTGATATCGTATCTATCAGTTGACTCCACCCCATCGTAATCGGTGAATCGCGGAAGCAATTTGCTATTCTCTCGACTGATTCATTGTAATTCGCGATCCACCGATTTTTGATTTCCTGACCACTTTCTGAAGCTCGTTCAGGTCGTGACCTGCTTTTGAAAACGGTTTTTCGCATTATGTTGAGGCGTATGCATGTAACACACAGCTACAGCTCATTTTCATTGAACGGGCCTCTGAATGCCAAACAAGGGAGTTAGGAAAGCTAACGCGAAACACTTTTTAACATCAGTTTTTGGCAGACTTCCTCATATGGGTTAGTGATGATCCTGGTGGTGGTAATATGGCATCAATTAAATACTAGCCACGGCCACCATTTTGGGGAATCACGCA